GAGCTCAAGTCCAGCCTGAACCACATAGCAAGACCCTGTCTCAAAAAAAAGAAAAAAAGACTTTAAAAGATCTGTCTTCTTATGATCATCCAGATTACGGTTCATGACTCTCCAAAAAACATCGAGCTTTCTCCCACTGTGTGGTCAGCAGAACAGTTCCTGGGACACAGGTACGCTTTTCTGATTCTCTTCTTAGCAGCCCGTCCGGTGAGTGCCAGCATCTCAGGGTATTAAGAGAACTCATAATCCCCAGTACGGAGGGCCTGCAGAACCCTTTCAGCATGAAGCAGTTGTAAGAAGAAAGAGAATTTTACTTCCTCAGTATCGCATAGAGAATTATGAGGATTATCTCTCCGTGGGAAAATGGGCTGGGGAAAACTGGATAGCCAATTGGACAGAATGTGTCAAAGGTCACAAAAACCTATGACTGACAGGCTGAGTGAGATGTTTCCTGAAAACAGAAGACGTATGCAGAAGAGAGGACTCAAAATGACAGCAAGCTTACAGCTGAAGACTATGGACCAGTCAGAAAAGTAGTATTTTTTCAATACATTTGAATCTGATGCAGTTCACAGGACCAGTTAAAAGATGTTATTTTGCATCCTATATTGTCTGAGTTACTTCCCTCATTGCTGGGACAAATGCCCAACACCCACAACTGAGGGAGGAAAGGTTTATTTTGGCTTACAGTTTGTGGAGGTTTCAGTCCATAGTCACCTGGCTCAAAAACAGATGGCATGGTGGAAGGACATGGAAGAGGAGAGCTCCTCACAGAATAGCAGGAAGCAGAGAGAGAGATCCAGAGAGGAGGGAGGGAGACAAACCCTTCCACACCACATCTCCAGTGATTCGCCTCCCACAGCCAGGTCTACTTCCCAACATTGTATTAAGCAATAAACTTATCAGTAGGCTGAGCTGCTAGTGAATACCATGCTCCATGATCCAGTCACCTCTCCAAAGCCCCATTTACAAGTGCATGAGGCTTTAAAGGGACGTCTAGACATAGAACATAGCACTCATTTATACGTGGGCACAGCCAAACAAAAGACACTGTTTCTGATCCTTCATTTACATCTGGTTAAATACTAAGCAAAGTTTTTGGTGGGGCAGTTTCTACCTGGTGTGACCAGGGTTTTGTAGGACCAGGTTTTTGTAGGACTTTTTTCTAGGTCTTTTGTGTCCAGAGATAATAGACAAGACACACAGAACAGGCAGTGAAGGTATACATTTTTGAAGGCAGAGAAGAGGTATGCTCTTTAGCATGAGAGCAGGTTGGACCTGCTCTGGTTAAAAACCAAGCAAAGTTTTTGATAGGACAGTTTCTACCCGGTGTGACACCAAGTGAATTTTTAATAGGATAGATATTCCAATGTCTTATTTTCATGAGGGGAAGCTATACTGGGAATTTTGGATACAAAGGACCCCTGCCCCCTTATCTTGTGGACAAGACATGCAGAAAAAGGAGCAAAGGTATAAGCTTTTTCACCAGCCCGCTCTCATGCTAAAGAGCATACCTCTTCTCTACCTTCAAAAATGTACACCTTCACTGCCTGCTCTGTGTGTCTTGTCTATTATCTCTGGACACAAAAGACCAAAAAAAAGTCCTACAAAACCCTGGTCCAATAACAGGCTCATTCATTTCCAGCTAACTTTGTAACTTTTTGTGTTTGCCTACATATCCAGGGGCATGAAGAATCTGAAAACAAGCAGGAATCTATTTTGACTTTCAATTCAATGGCACTATTATTAGGTACTCTGGAAAAATATTCCTAGTCAGGTGGCAAAACTTCAACTATAAATTCCTTAGAAGCACATTTGTTACCTGAGGGTGGAGTGGGGTCTCTGTTATGTCTTTCTCACTTGGTTGTCCAAACTTTCAACCAGTTAAGCCAGGATTGTGGAAATGGAACCATGTATTCTGACTTCTGAAAACATCTTTTGATCTCGGTTTGAAGGCATATGTTTACAGGACATTACTCCACCCTGATAAATATCATCCTCTAGATGTCATTCTAGTTGAGTTTTTCACTTATGCACTTCCATTAAAAATATTGTTACATCAGGTGGTGGGTGGTGAATATAATAATACCCTATATATAATAATATTCATTTTGCCAGGGGGTGAAGTGAAAGCCCACTGCCTTCTCTCACTGTGGGCTGGAGTGTAACTCAGTGGTATAGCACTTGCCTAGAACGTGATCCTAGGCTTGATAACCAGGGCTGCAAACAATAAAAAAGCAGGTATTTACTAACATTCTCCAGGGAAATTATATAGAGACAGAGAGAGATGAAAAGAGAGAGAAGTTTCTTATCAGGAATTGATTTACATTATTTTACAGGTTGACAAGTCTCAAGACCGTAGTTAGCAACTGGTCCTGGTGGTGAAAGCTTGTAACACCAGAACTTGGGAGGCTGAGGCAAGAGGATCACTATGAGTTCGGGGCCACCATATCTCAAAACAACAAAAACAGAGAGAGATCTTCAGTCAGGAAGCTGGAGACCCAGGAAAGTCACTTGTGTAAGTTCTAGTCAGAGTCTGAAGGCATGAGAACAAGATCCAAATGTTTAAGTTTCCATCCAAAGCCCAGGAACTCAAGACCCAAAAATCCTGAGGCTTCAGTTTGAGACGGAAGGCAGGAAAATGCCAGTGTCCCCACTCGAATGTAGTCCTGAAGGAGGAATGGCCCTTTACTCACAGGAGGCTTAGCCTTTTGGTTCTACTCAGTCTTCAAATTATTTTAATAACCCCTACTCACATTGGCAAAGGCAATCTGCTGTGCTTTGCGTACTAACTCGAGTGTTCGTCTCATACGCGCTCACCCTGAAAGGCACAGCCAAAGTAACACTTGAACAAAGGCCTGGCCCAGTCAGGCTGACATATAAAATTACCCTAATGACGACTCTATCAGAAAAATATCTCCTAACTTGACAGTGAGTAAGTGTTACAAGTTGAATTCTGAAGATGCTTCCCATTAAGAGTCTCTGTTTATCCAATCGAGCATTTATCCCTGAAATCTACTAATCAATCCGAGCTGTGAGAGTTCTTTGGATGTATAATTAAGGTTATACATAAACTGACATGAAATAGATTTGCCTGGATTATTGAGGCCCACTGTTGTTTCCCATCAACAGCAGAAGCAAGCAAACAAGTCAGCAGCAGAGATGTAGCAGAAGACCTGTGCTGGGAGATGATGCAGGGAGATCTTAAACGTGCGAAGGATTCGAACTTTTTTATTGCCCTTTGAAAGAGGCCACAAGCCTGGAAATGTGAGCAGGCTTTAGAAATGAAAATGAGCCCAACCTGGCGTGGTGATGCACACCTGTAATCCAGGCACTTGGGAGGCTGAGGCAGAAGGATCATTGGGAGCTCAAGACCAGCCTGGGCTACAAAGTGAGTTCAAGGCCAGCCTGAACTGCAGAGCAAGACCGTGTCTCAAAAAGACCAAAAAAGCAAAACAAAACAAAAAAAATGATCCTGGCTGACAGCCAGCAAAGGAATGGAGACCCCACTCCTACAGCAGCCTGGATGAGGCTTTGGGGCCATTTTATTTTATTAATTGGTTTTTTATTAGTACGTGATTGCAGTGCATAATGAATGTGGGGAATTGGTACATGGACATGACACAGTTTAATTCTTATGTCCCCTACCCTTGCAGTCCCTCCTTGCTCCTTCCAACTCCTTCCAATTTGCAAAAGGTCTATTTCCCTTTTTTTCCAATTATTTACTTTCCCTTCTCTTCCCTTCTCCTTCCTCTCCTCTCCCTCTCCCTTGCTCCCCTTCCCATTTGAAACCTTAACAGGGACATTCTCTGGCATTACCCAGGTAAACCCTCTGTAATTACCAACGTTCTTAGAAAAGGAAGATAGGAGAGTCAGACTCAAAAACAGAACTATGATGGACCAAGGAGATAGCTCAGCAGCACAGCGGCTGCCTAGCAAAACTATGATGGTTGAGCCAGGCATGATGGCACACCCCTGTAATCCCAGCACTTTGGAAGCTGAGGCAGGAGGATTTCTGCAAGTTCAAGGCCAGCCTGGGCTACATAATGAATTCAAGACCAGCCCTAACTGCATAGTGAGACCCTGTCTCAAAAAAAAAACCACAAAAAAAAACCTATAATGCTTGAGACTGGGCAATTAGCCCTGCTGGAACTTTGATTTCATAACTTCTTTTTGTTTTGGTTTGGTTTTTAGAAACAGGGTCTCACTATGTAGCCCAGGCTGGCTTCAAACTCACAGCAATCCACCTACCTCAGCCTCTTGAGTGCTGGGATGACAGGCACACACCACCACGCCCACTGGTTTTATAACTTCTGACCTGAAAAAGTGTAAAAGAGTAAATTGTGCTGCTTTAAACTTCTAAAATGGTGTTAATTTATTACTGTGATAACAGAAATCCATTCCAAGCACTTGAAATCTTAGTTTCTTCTGGAAAAAATTATGATAGTATACTTTCAATATGACTATTAAACATAACTTTAGGGCCAGGGATACAGCTCAGTGGCACAAGTGCCTGCCTGGCAAGCCCAAGGTCCTGAGTTTGATTACTGGTACCAAAATAATAATAATAATAACTTGAAAGCATTCAGTACTAGGAAATATTTAGTATCACATACAATGGTCCTTACTGCATTATCAGGGCTTCTGCCTAGCACTTTGGCAGAGAGCCCAGGCCCTGGAGATGGACTGACAGGTGCTCCTTTCCAGACTCTACCACTAGGCTTCTTAATTCTAGGCTTCTGCATTTGTACAGTTCAGCATAGACTCACATCATAAGATTGCTATGAAAATTAATTGAAATATTTTACATAAACTACTTAGCCCTGTGCCTGACTCAAGATCACTCATAATAAAGTTGCCTAAAACCAATACTATTACTCCTAATACTACTGTTTGGATTTTGCTGTTTCACCCCAAACATCCTCAAAAACTTTCTCTGTAATTCAGAAAGCTGTCCTGTAATTTCCTGCCACCAGATAACTATATCTTGCCATGGTTCCTTCTCGCTGATCTTCAAAGGTTGAAATTTGCCTGAAGCTAAAAATGAAAGCTCTCTCCTGAGCTCACCCAGATGGAACCTTAACCATTAAATCCTTCCATTCCACGCCAAACACAGAATCTCTTCAGTAAGGTAAGTGTCCTAGGCTTCGGTGAACATTCACAAATACTAAAACCAATAATGTTTAGACTTTAGTAAACCAAACCCTTAAGACACAATTATGTTCTTCTTTGTCCTAAGCATTTTTTACCAACTTCTTAGTTGGTCCTCTGAATAAAGCCAAGCATTTTCTCCTGACCTTTACATGATTGAAAATATGTATTTTAGGGCTTATCCTATATTTTAGGTGGAAAACTAGTATGCACATTCACTATGTTTATATTTGTACTAATTTGCATCACATTAGTCAGTCAACATTATATAATCAAATTAATTCTTATGAACAAAATTTGAGCTGGATATTTAATTTATCAACAAAACCAAGACACATCTGAGTGTAAATGGAGCACTATTAATAATTACATATATGTATGCATACAAATGTCACTGCAAAACAAATTAATTTGTAAAATTAATGCTTGTCAATAAAAAATTTACATCAAAAGTAGATATATAAGCAGAGACCACCCTGGACATCTTGGACATGTGGTCAATATGGTCACTGAGAATTGAACGGATATGGGCACCCCCCACCCCCACCGAGTAGGGTAAGTTCTGGGAGAAGGTAGTAGCAATATACCACTTTAAATAAAGCTAATTCTGCCCCTATATTGCATTCCCCTTGGCTGCTGTCAAAATGCCCTTGAAGACAGTGGTCCACAACTGGTTTGGCAGGAAGAACTGATTTTCAGGGAAGATAATTTTCCCATGGCCAGTGAGGGAAAAGGTTGATTGAAAGGCACACACAACCTAGATCCCTTGCACGTACTCTTCATGGGAGGGTTCACGCTCCTGCGAAAATCTAATGCCACTACTGATCTAACAGGAGGTGGAGCTCAGTGGATAATGCAACTGATGAGGTTTTTCTGCCAATACAGATGAAGTTCTGCTCCATTTCCTGTCACCTGCTCCCTTCTGGATGACCTACCTCCTAACAGGCCATAGGCAGTAAGGTTGGGGGACCCCGGTTTTAAGGGATTACTTAGCTCTCTGGGTTTCTGGCAGTCCTAGGAAAAGAAATCAGAAACTTTTGGATATTCACTGTTCTTCTTCTGTCCAAGAGGTTAGCAACACTCAAACCTGGATACACATAAGAATAATAATTTGGGCACTTTTGAACAATACTGTTATTGGGCTCATCCTCAGAGGTTCTGATTCAGTTGGCCTAAGCTGGACCCAGAAATTGACACTTAATAAATTCAGGAAGATTTTAATGCTGGCAAGGTGCTGAGAAGCACTGAGCTAGAGAAGAACTTTAACTAAATGAGGGGAGGTATGAGAAACTGGAAGTCAAAATTAATGGGATATTATGATTGGATAGAGAGTGAAGGCATGCAGCTCAGAAATATATAGAGAATATCGATGTATCTTAGTTTTTTGTTTTGGACAACTGGATTGATTTTGATGCCATCAAACTCTACCAAATAAAGTTTCAAAAGATTTCACCCAAGGAACAATGTTTCTTAAGAGAAAGGAGCAGGAGAGAAAAGAAAAAGAAAACAAAAAAGAAAAATAGTTTCATGAGTACTACCTTAACAAGGAAACCAAAATCTCTGGACTTTATTTGGTGAGAGAGTAAGACAGAGAGTAAGAAATCAAAAGAATGTCCTTTTGGTGATGTAGACATAAATCATTCTCAAACCTCCCCAGAAGAAAATGGTCTGGGCCTATATATTATGTATTTCTTTGGTGAGGTTTATAACCAGATGCTTTAATTTTTATTTAGTAATAAGTTGTAAGAAGAGTTCAGTGTGCTGAAGGGTATTCTTTCATTTTTCCAGACTTAACAAATGAAGACCATGCTGAGGACCAAAACTGTGGTACTTAGAAAATACAGCACTTGTTTTTTTCTGCTTATTTCTAAATCTCTCATCATTTCTTTCACAAGCATAACAGTATTCTGTTTTCCCCTCCATGTCCTCCTCTGACATGAAGAAAGGAGCAGAAGAAAGAGAGATGGGGGAAGTAATAAAATTAGAAACATACAGTATTTACCACATGCATGCGCTGCTTTAAACAAATTTAAAATCATGTCTCCTGACAACACTTTAAAATAGAAGCAGTTATTATCCTCACTTTTATAGGAAAACAGAGCTTAAGTAATTTGCAGCCAGTTATTTACAGCCAGTCAATTAGCAGAGCTGGAAAAGGAAGACACATCTGGGCCCCACGGTGTCTACGCTTTTAACCATTACTAAGGGGAGTTCCATCCTCTTTTAGGAACAGCTGAAGACCTAGCAGAGGGTAAAACCTGATGAATCAATCTGGAGGAGAAGGACAAATGAGAGGAGACTTCCACAGCCCAGATGAAAGAATCCTCTTTTTCCAGGAAAAATGACAACAGGTAAGGGTGCAGGTAACGTTGCAGACACGTGTTGGGAAGTGAGATGGTTCATGCCTAGTGATGTAGAAAACAAACCCTGTGCCCCAGAATGAAAAGCCAGCAGCAGTTTGGAGATGATCAAAGCTTGAAGTTTCCACCTAGAGATTGCTACACAGGGTCAGCAGCACTGGAGACAGGACCAGCCAGCCACATGGTTTGTAGCTGCATAGCCTGAGACCCACTGCAAAATAAGAAGCAGGGCTTCGTATTCAAGAATATTACAAATTTTAAGACAATGAAAAGACTGCGCTAGAGCAAGTGCCAGCGTAAGGCCCTTCTAGTGTGGGCCCCCATGAGGCTGCACAAGTCACATATCCGTGAGGCTGGTCTTAATCATAGGTCAAGAGGGAAATGATTCTATAAGTGTATACTAGTGAAAAGGATTAAACTATTCTACCCCACAGTACGCCACTTTGGCAGAAGGATGATTTTGACTTAAAGGCAATGAAGAAACAGCAGATGCAGGAAAAGCTCTCTGCCCTCCAATTTCAGTTTTAAAGCAAGTGTAGACTTCTTTTTACAAAGGTGACATAAATGTCCGTTCAGAAAGGTGTCTCCAATCCTCACACCAGGAACAGGATGCTCTAACCTGCAGAGATCGTTGTTATCAAGGGAGGAGACACCCACTTGAGTCTGCATAACAGGCAGTAGCAAATCACCTTTCTATGGACCTAATATTCCATTCCCTAAAAATTAATCTGCAGAGATTCTAGTCCTCTAGGAAATGATACTGAGAAGTGAAGCCTTTAGGCAGTGATTAAGCCACAAAAGCAAAATGTTCATGAAGGCGATTAGTGCCCTCACAAAAGAGACTCAGTGGAACTCATTTACACTCTCTCCATGTGAGGTTAGTTTCCATGAGCCAGCAGGTGTCCATCCTTAGTGCCCGGGTCATGGGCTTTCCAGCTTCTAAGACTATGAGAAATAAATTTCTATTGTTTCTAAGCAACTCAGTCTATGATCATTTTTTATAGCAACCTTACATGGACTAAGACAACCCTACCTATGATCATTTGTTATAGCAACCTACATGGACTAAGACAACCCTACCTTCACTTACTTCCTCCATGTACTTACCTTCACAATGTACCTCCCTAGAAGTGAAAGCCCTTCCCCCTTCCTTTGTTATGTTACCACTTCACAATTCATCAATCTATTAAAACGGTATGTAAACCTCTAAGCTTAGCTGATTGTTTGGTTCTTCATCCTATGAAGGCCTACATACCCATGTACAATGAGCCTTTGCTCCTATTAACCTTCTTTGTGTCAATTTAATTTGGAAAGCCCAAGTCAGGAACCTAAGAAGGTACAAGTGAAAGCTATTGTCTTAGTTACTTTCCCACTACTGAGACAAAATGCCTGACACCCAAAGTTAAAGGAGGAAATGTCTAGTTGGCCCACAGTTTGTAGAGATTTCAGCTCATAATCAGCTGGCTCCAAGGTAGGGTGGCATGGCAGAGGGGCATTGCAGAGGAGAAATGGTTCATGATGGGCAGAAGGTAGCAAAGCAAGCAAGAAGCCCTAATAGCTTCTTTCTACCCCTTTTATACTCTAGACTACCAAGATTAGGGCAGTGCCAAAGCAATCAGTGGACTGATTTAGTAATCACACACGTTTAATCCCAGCATCACATACTCTAGATTTTGCCACCTCTGAAAAGCCCCATCTATACCCACATGAGGATTTGGGAGGACATCTAGACACAAACCATAACAGCTATTTTTCCTCTTTTACTGTGGCATCAGCTTGAACCTACACATACGAGATTTGAGATTCATCTGGCTGCTTCTAACCAAAATCCTCCTTCCACGAGAGAGAAGAATAAAGACAGGTAGTGACCAATCCCCTCTAATCACAGTTTTTCATCTCTCGATTTTGTAGCTGAGTAAAACAATTATTCTCTTCTTTCCATAATGGAAAATGTTGATTTTTATTTGTAAGAAAGTTTTTCTTACCATCCCAAAGTTCTTTGCCAATTGCTCCATAGTAAAAGTACCAGATAAATTATCATTTAAAAATTACATTTCTTAAAACAGAGGCCACATTTTTTTAAAGGGTAAAATTATTTTTTAAGAGATTAGAGAATATTATTATGGGGCAATATGGAAAAAGTTATTTCTGTGAAGGACTTTTGGAAGTAGTCAATTTTCTATATCCTTGCAGAGGATAAATAAGTTATAAAGTCATACTGTAGCAATATTACAAGGCAGTTTTCAAACTATACCTTAATTTCAGAACATTAACATTGAATCAAGGTATTTTTTTAATATTAATCTTTAAAAATAGTGTTTCTTGTACAGAAGATTTTTTCAATCACTAGGCAGAAATAGTTCTAAGAAGATAAACAGATACTTGTTTGAATAGTTACACAACCTGACTTGTGTATATTACTGGTATGATTATTGTTGTTGCCCATGAACTCTCAAGATGCCAAGCATACCTGCAGGCTATGTTTTTAAAACATTTGTTATTACCAGACTAGTTGAAACTATTTTAACTATGTTTGTAGAGATTTTGTAGCAGCCCAAATACAGCTGAGGAAACACATTCAAAATAAATAAAATTGTAGAGGAAAACAGAAATAAGCAGTATGTCCTAGTCCTCCTAACTGCCTTAAGAAAATTTACTAATATAAATACACGACTTTCAAAAATCTTCTAGCACTATAAACTGCAATACTTTGGTTGTACAAGTACCTCATTTTTGTTTGTTTGTTTTCTTCCCATGCAGAATAGTCCATGGAGCAGGCCAGACTTGGACCTGTTAATTATGATGATAATATCTGAGAGATCTGTCAAAAGCTGAGCCTTTATTTCTTCAGCTTTGCAAGTGGAATGTATTACTTCTAAAATAATAATGGGAGCATCGTAGAGAACACTGCATGTGGTGAGTGTGTGTATGTGTGTTTTGGAAAGGAGCTATCCACATTACCCTGTATTCTAACCCTAACTTCATCACCCTAACTTCATGTGCAAAGGATTAGCACATACTATCTCCCTAAGCCACAGTTTCCAGCAATAATAGTAAAAACAACACCTACAGGACTTAACTGTGGATCAAATGAAAGTATATTATTTGTTCAACTACAAAGATATAGATGGATAGAGGAAGAGAGACAGAGAGATAAACAGGCAGACAATGAAAAGGGATATGATACTACAGACACATAATTTGTACTCTCAGAAATGTCGAGTTAGTAGGAGACCAATATGAATGTACAAATTATGGCAGCACATGAAAGATTGTAATAGCCAAAAGACAGTACAAGGGAATACTTCTCTTTGTTCCTGAGTTTTTACCCATTCTGGTCTTAGCGTCTTGGTCTGACTAATTTGCCCTTCAGAAAAGAAATATTAAATCAGCACTGTTAAATACAAGTAAGACCAGCTACAAGTACAATTTGTGAGACCCCGTACAGAATAAAATTGCGTTTAAAATTAATAAGAACTCTAGAGTAGTGACAGCTAAGCACTCAGCAAGTGCAGGGGCCCTTCTGAGAGCAGATCCCTGAGTGACCGCGCAGTCACATGCCCATGAAGCCAACCCAGGTACAAGCAAGAAACTGACGCTTACTTCAGCAGAAATTATTAAATTTCGGGGCCGGGGATTTAGCTCAGCAGAAAAAGCATTTGCCTGGCAAGCGCAAGGTCGTGAGTTCGGTTCCCGGTACTGGAGGAAAACCAAAAAAAAAAAAAAGAAATTATTAAATTTCCAAGGCCGGCGGACAAGGCTCAAAGCTTCACAGAAAAAATCAACACCCAAAACTGCAGCCCTGCATTAGTTTTTTGAAGATATCTTGGAAGAAGTACTTCATGCTATAGTTTATGTTGCCACCACCATAGACATAAAATCTAATTTTATTGCAAACACTATAAATGCCAAATAGAAAATTCTCGACAGTCCCAGTATTTCTGTGGGTCATCAGCTCCAAATTTAGTTTCTAAGGTAGAAACATCAAGTTGATACAAGCCTAAGCCACAAGTCCATGCTTTGAGAAGCAAGGAATACCAGGAAAGTGAGGAAAGGGAATTTTTCTCATGTTGTAGAAGGTAGACCAGCAGGTCATAAGATATAGGGAATTCCCCCAAAATAAGAAGGGGTCACATGTTAGGCAGTCAACAACGAAGCACAAGTTCACTAGAAAACTAAAAACATATTCTCAGGCAAATATCAAATTATAAAGTTTAGTGTTCTTGTTTATTTTGACCCCCAAAACTCAAGCTTATCTTGTCAAGAAGACCTTGACAGTAATAGACATGTATAATATATGAAACACACACACACACACACGCACTCTTTTTCCTAGCTTTCTTCCAGTAGAAACCGTCTTGGGACTTCCCGATTGTTTTCAATATTTTCTCAGGAATAAGAATGATCTTAAACTGTCCCTGTCTTCCCACTAAAATCATAATTTGCCGGTTGCAGCAATAATGCCTTGTTATTCACTCTGTCCATTTGCTTCTTGCAGACTATGTTCTCTCATTGTAATCACGTGTTTCTGATTGGGACACAAACTCCCCTCTCATGCCCCTTTCCCTGGCCTCAGTGGTCTGACACAGATATCCAAATTTTAATGTCTACGCCAATTACTTAGGGTCCTTCTAGGATGTAGAGTCTGCATTTTCAACAAGCGCAAAGATGATCCAATGTGGCTCATTTGCTGAGAACATTTGGAATAGCGAAGACCTAAATATCTCCTGGGGTCCAGGGTTTCGCACTTTATCCAAACCATCCCAGCCATTCAGCACACAGGAAATGAAGCAATGGGAGCGGAAGTGGGAAGAGAAGTCATGAAAATTTTGTTTAATCTTTGAGCTAGCTGTCCCTGCCACCTCCGCACTCCAGCTACCCAGGGCAATACATCCATGTTTTGTTAAATAAGCCTGAATCAGACTTCTTCAACTGCAGCCAAAAGAATACTTAAATTATAAATTTTATTTCAATACAATCTCAGTGCCCAAGCTGCTCTAAATATAAATATTTCTTTATCTCCTACACTTGCAAACTTCCTTGGACCGTTAGGAATTGTGACTCATGATTGTAAGAAATAACTAGGAACATATGCATGATTTCCAAACTATTTGCTGCATTTTGAAATTCATTTATTTTTCTCTTATATTAGTCATAACATGGGTAAATCCCACAGCTTATCTTCTAAGGTTTCTCTTGGACCCACTGAATGGGGAAGAACGGTGCTCATTAGAAATTTTGTCCCCACTCTTCTGGCTTCCTGTGTTCGTCTGTTGACCTCGATAGAAGACTATAGCTCCGGAACAAGGAAAGGAGGTTCAGACAGAGTCCAATCTACTGTGAGGTGCAGGCATTTATGGAGTTGAACGAGTAGTCAAAATGACACGCCGCTGGATCTCTGGTCCTATGATTCCATCAAGTGTACAAACTACACTTATTCGTAAAAGTGAAAGCTAAATGTTTTTAATTAACAATACAGATAAGTTGAGATCATTTTGCATTTGTAAAACTAGGCTGTGCATTAACTGCATTGTTGACTAAACCAGTCCTCTATTCAGACAAATGATTAATCTTCCTTGGAGATGGGTGGCCATTCTGAACCCAAGGTGAAGTAAACACTTGGAGAAATCTTCGTGGTGAAAAATAACTGATTGTTCTTGGAGGTGGTAAAGTCACAGACCTCCGAGACAAACGGGAAAGATAATCTCATTACAAGCACAGCTAGTGATTAGCAAATTCACAAAGCACAGTTGTTATCCTTTTGTTACAGCAATTTATTTTTAGTCCAAGCAACAGTTCATTAAAGCCTTTATTTTGTCAGGCTGGAATAAATCAAGACAGCAGAATTACTTCATCAGACCTCTTCTACCCCCTGGCCTGTCTAAGATTCTTTCTCCTGGAGGCCTCACTATTTCATCTGGCCCAGTGAGGTAAGGTGCTTTGCCGGGACACCCCCTCATCCTGCTCGCCTCCCCTCATCCTCGGAACCACACACACCTGTTCACTCTTCTAAATCCCGCCCCTCCTCCCAACCCCTCAATACCATGGAGGATTTTAAACAAAGTAGGTCTTTTAATTGTTTGTTTACCAGATGGATGAGGAAGATAGAAGATAGAAGAAACAAGATTTGATAATACGATGTGCATCTTATGCTTGTGAATTGTCTGCATAATGCTGATGGAATTTGCCTTGAGAAAATTTCATACTTCATTGAACTGTAACATTTGTAATGTTAACCTAAAAAAAAAATTTTTGTTTTTCCTCTATAAAATAAAGCTACCCAATGTTGCTGAATTTGTCAAAAGTCACTGGTATTGTGCCTGCATGCAATACACTACAAATTCCAAGCCGTAACCAAGGGTTTAATTTTATCACTGAAATAAAGAACAGGTTAAATACCTTTTGAGCATTTAATTCCCAACATAAAGGAACTCCAGTTTTTCCGGCCAGTGAATTATATCAACAACCACCACTAGGGGGTGCTTCGCCTCTTCTTATTTGCAGTAAACACAATACTAAATTGAAATCTCACACACTCCCTTTGTATGTCCACGAACTGAAATTTCCAGTAATTCATAAGTGGGAAATGATTTATTCTCAAATGTTATATCAGCCCTTGTCTATTTGAATCTATAAAGCAATAATATTTCATGTTTATTTAATTCCCATCAATTTGCACTAATCACTTTCATTGCTGGATATTAACTACATGAAATTTTTTTGTCATCTTCAATGTTTCTACTGGAATGATAAGAAAAATACGTGTTCAGTACACAAAGTAACAAACCTTTTTCATTCCAAAAAGGAATTATTGTATATATCTTAAAACTGAAATAAAAATAAAGATACAACTGCCTATCTTAATGAATAATGAGGCTTCCAAACTTTGTACACGGCACACTGACTACATGATACGCTTAGTGCCTTGATAACTTTTTCGCCTTTTTCCAAAACAATTCCCCCCTAAAGAATATCCAAAGCTCTGCTTTTTACAGATTTAGAAGTGTTTAGGTCCTAACAAATTAATAGCTTCTTGAAAAAATTATACATATAAATGGAAAAATATTTTTATTTCATTATCACACACTGACTGTATTAGTTATCTCATTAGTCCCAAATGTTAGTACTTAAAGAACCATTTATCACCTGACAGCTTCTGTAGGTCAGGAATCTGGGAGGTTTCAGCTGAGCGACGGTAGTCGGAGATCTCCCAAGTACAGCCAGGAAGCCCGGTGGGCTTGCAGGCTCCAGAACCCTTCACTGAGGCTGGGAGGCCCACTTCGAAGATGCCTCACTCACACAGCTCAGGGAGCAGGAGGTCTCAGTTCCCCCATGGCAGCCGGCAGTGGGCTCAGATCCTTGCCACGTGGGCATCTCCAGCGGGCTGTTTAAGGGTCTTCACAAGATGACAGCTGTCTTCCCCAAAAGTAAGTGATCCAAGACAGACAGCAAAGTAGAGATTATAATGCCTTTCGTGATTTAGACTGGAAAGGCCCACAGTACAATTTCTGCCATATTCTATTTTTTTAAAAGCTAGTTACTAACTAGCCAGGCCTGGAGGCTCAGGCCTATAATCCCAGCTCACACCTGGGAGGCTGAGGCAGGAGGATCACTGCGAGTTCAAGGCCAGCCTGGCCTACATAGTGAGTTCAAGGCCAGCCTGAACTTCATAGTTAAATCCTGTCTCAAAAACAATAAACAAAAAAGCTAAGTTCAACTTTAAGTTCAGCCCATATTTAAGAAGAGCACAAGGGAAGATCATCATAGAATTCTGGACCATTACACCTTACATTAAAACCATTATATTTTAAAGAAAATATGCTTATTTGCACAAGGAAGCATTATTAGCCATAAAGAAAAATAAAGCCTGTCATTTTCAGGAAAATTGATGGAAGTAGAGGACATCATATTAAATGATATAAGCCAGACACAGGATAAGCATCACATATTTTTCTCTCACACATAGGAAGTATTAAAAGACAAGGAAGGGGCTGGGGATCTAGCTCAGTGACACAGCGCCTGCCTGGCAAGCATAAGGTCATGAGTTCAAATCCTGGTACCAAAAAAAAAAATAAATAAATAAATAAATAAATAAAAGACAAAGATAGGGATGGCAGTAGGAACTTGGGGGAGGGTGGAGAGGGAGGAGGACAGGAGCAGGCAGAAGAGGGGTGGATGGAAATGATCAGTACACAATATATGCATGGAAATTACACAGCGAATCCCATTCATTTTTATACTTAATATGCTATGTTATAAAAAGATAAGTAGGGGCTGGGGATTTAGCTCAGCGGCAAAAGCGCCTGCCTGGCAAGCGCAAGGTCGTGAGTTCGGTTCCCGGTACCGGAGAAAAAAACCAAAAAAAAAAAGATAAGTAAACCCCTCACATGCACCGGGAGATACATGCACCTGTCGGGTACTAGATACCCAAACTCCAGAATCAGATTAACTACCACCCGCTTCCGGTTCCACATTTACTTTCTTGTGGTCTCTGCTTTTTAGCACGGCAACCGCAGAAAAATCAGCTCCACAAAGGGGTGTCTTCCAGAAAAGCAATGCAGAACAAGCTAAGGGTGAAACTAAGTTACTTCACTTTGTGGTCAACAGATGTTGCTGTTTTCCCCTCAAATACAGTTACTTATGTCACTTGGCCCCTGGGAGTTCACTTAATCCCCTGGGGGTGCCTCAGTGAACAGTTTAGAAATAGACCTCACGATCTTTTCCTCAAAGACAAAAAATAAAGTTGTAAATATGTTTAAAGAAGACTTGCTGGATACATCAACAGTTTTTCAAGTATTTCTACTTCAAGGAAATTCTGAAAGAAAAAGAAGAGCTTATTTCTATCTGTCTACAGGGTAAAGGTAGAGTGAATATTGTATGTCTTCGTAATTGCTTATTTAATATAAAGATAGTCAAAAGCAGTAGCTTTTCCCAGTGTCTATTTTAACGAAAGAGCAGCCAGATATAAAGAAAAAATAATTCATGAAAAAAAGAGAAACATACAACTTAGAAATTCAATTTGGGGGAAAAAAACCGGGTTTCAATCTTGGCCCTGCAAAGAAAGAGAAAGAAAGAGATCAATAGTCAATAAACATTTTCTTTATTTACATTTCAAAATCTTCCCTTTATTTTCCTTTTCTAATATAATGATATTAGTGTGGGCATGAAATCTCTGAGGGATGATGACATAGTATATCTACTTCCTCACTCTTGGGAAGTTAATCATAAATAAAATGAAAACACAAACAATGAAAGGTTTTCCCCTTGACTGCAACAGATGAAAGGAACACACATTTCTCTTGCTCTTTACTGAAACCTCCTTTAAATAATAAAAGATAATTATAAAGTGCATTATCTAACAAAAGCCAAAGGAGCAGAAAAGATGTTATAGAAGATGGTTAATGTCCACAAAATACCAGAAAATGGAATGCTGATTACACAGCAGTAAAATGACTTTGGTTCCATTTTTCTTTGCTCTGCTAAGTAGCTAAAGAACAACAAAAACAAAAACAATGACAAGCCGCCTAGAAACAAGTTGATTCATGTCACAGAAAAACAAACAAACAAAATTCCATGGCAAGGGAGCCTCTGACAGGGTTAGATTTGCAAGAAGCACTAAAAACTAGAAAATCTGTTAAAAGACTGAAAAGACTACTAGACATTTGTCCCACCCCACAGTCTAATAGGTAGATGACTACATGTCGTAGCGGTAGCAGATTTCCTGCTGGTAACACAGATGACCAATGAGTCCACTTTCCAAAGAGTGAGGCCCCCAGTCCCCTTCCCATACTGGGCCCTGAGAACAGTCAGGCTTATACTCCTTCGTCTGAGACAGTGGAAAAGTCCTCGGGAAAATTCTGGCCCTGGAAACATTGATAGTCCGCCCACGACCAGAGGGCCAGCCCTTCACAGTAAGCCTGACACTTGATAAGAATCACCTGCACCAGCTCCCAATCTGCATTTTAGTGACTCCCTCTTCCAAAAAGTAATTTAGCTTGAAAGAACATAAAAATTTCCATGTCAGAACAAAGAACTAAATCCTTTTCTTTTTTTTTTTTTTTTTTTGAGACAGCATCTCACCATGCAGTTCAGGCTGGCCTTCAGCTCACTTTGTAGCCCAGGCTGGTCTTAAACTTGCAACAACCCTCCTGCCTCAGCCTCCCAAGTGCTGGGATTACAAGCATGCTCCACCACACCTGGCCTTAAATCCTTTTCATTTACATTCTTAAAATAGTAACATTTTTCTGAAAAGGCACGATCGTCACTCTCTCTTTCTCACTCTCTCCGCTTGTACAAGGGGAGGCAATATACCCATTATCATTAGCTGTGTCTCAACCTTCTAAAAGAAAGCTTCAATGGTGTGCCATTTTTGCTAAATAACCCCTTGTATATTTTCCCCAAATGAAGACATTCTCCCATTCAAGTGTTGCCAATTCCCAAAAACATCTTTTTCCTTTCTGTCCAAGAGTGAACCAAGGACTACATGTTGCATTTGGTTCTTCTGTCTCTTCAGACTCTTTGAATCCAAAACACATTTCTCTTTTTTTTTTTTTTTTTTTTGTCTATTTGAGACAGGGTCTCACTATGCAGTTCAGGCTGGCCTTGAGCTCACTTTGTAGCCCGGGCTGGTCTCGAACTCACAAGGATCCTCCTACCTCAGCCTCCCAAGTGCTGGGATTACAGGCATGCACCACCATGTTGGCTTCCAAAACACATTTCTCATTCTCCAATGTTCGCTCCAGTTTAGATCTGGAATGTCCCCCAAAGGTCTATGTGTCAAAACCTGATTCCCTCAGCCTGGGAATCTACTAGGGGCAGTGAAACCCTTAGGAGGTGGGGCTTAGAGGAAAGAAATTAGGTCATTGGGGTGTGCTGTGAGGGAGATAGTTGGATGCCAGCCCCTGACTTC